ACTGGGCGAGATGTGCTGGGGGGCGGGTGGGGTGGGGCCCAGTTTGGCGTGCACGCACGCGCAGACGCTACGTGCCGCCGGCTAAGCCTATCGGAGCGCTCCCTTGCAGGCGGCATTGGGAAGACGTTGAGCGGTGTACCGGCGGCACGCGCAGTGCCACGCCCGGACCCTCGTCACCGATCCTTGCTCGCCCGTGCTGACGCGTTCGGATTGTCGGCGTCGTCGTCGTCGTCGGCGGCGTTCCCACCACCACCCCCCGCCCCCGCACCTCCGAGCAGCGCGGGGAGGCGACGTACGGTGCGACGGAAGTTCGACACGGACACCGCAGACACGCGGACACCACACGGACACCACGCGGACACACGGACACACGGACACCACACGGACACACGGACACACACGGACACGGTCCACCCGCTGCCCACCGGTGCTGCTGCTGCTGCCGGCTCTCGTGGTTTTCCTCCGACGAGGGGGCAGGCGGCGTGGGGAGGAGTGAGAGACGGCGCTGGTGGTGGTGGTGGGGGTGGTGGTGGTGGTGGTGTTGGTGCTGGTGGTGTTGGTGGTGGTGGTTGGTGGTGGTGTTACTGGTGGTGGTGGTGTTGGTGCTGGTGCTGGTGGTGTTGGTGGTGTTGGTGGTGGTGTTGGTGGTGTTGGTGTTGGTGTTGCTGGTGGTGGTGGTGTTGCTGGTGGTGCTGGTGGTGCTGGTGGTGTTGGTGGTGTTGGTGGTGTTGGTGGTGGTGTTGGTGGTGTTGGTGTTGGTGGTGTTGGTGGTGTTGGTGCTGGTGGTGTTGGTGCTGGTGGTGTGAGGAGCGGCAGGAGGATGAGGAGTCACACGAGCAGGACAGCGTTGATGCAGCCGTCGTTCTCCGGGTTGTTGGTCACCTGCGCGTACTTCCCTGCAGAGAGAGAAACAGAGAGAAACCGCACGCACGCGAACGGGCGTCACGGGGAGAGGCGGTGCCTGCCCACGGTTCTCACCGCGCCTCAAATCAGCTCACCAATTGCCCCTTGGGAGCAGGGAGGGGGCGGGGGGGTGGGGGGCGGCGTGCCACGTTCACCGCCGAATCTCGCGACCGTTTTACTTCGAGGAGGCAAAGCGCCGCCGTTCAGCGGAGGCATTGCGGCCGTGCTCAGCCGCGGAGCGCCGCGGCCGCTCCGCCCGCGGCGCCTTTTCACCGCCGCCACCGGCGACGGCGGCCGAGCGAGCGACTCCTTGTGGGGAGACCGCACGGCGGAGCCTGCCACAGGGCCAACCGTGCCGCTCTCCCGCGTCTCAGCGGGTCTACTCGGGAGCGAGGCCATCAAACTATTTCTATCGTACCCGCCGCAAGGCCCACCCCCCCCCCCCCCCCCCCCCCCCCCCCCCGGCTGATCCGGAAGCGACGTGGGGACACCACTAAACGATCGCTCGACAAGGTGGCTCATCATCATTATCATCGTCACGTGGACATTCACAGCAACCAGACACCCTGAGTGCACGTTGATTCTAAATGGAGAGAATACCCGGAAGGGCCGCAGGAAAAATCTACGCGACTTAAGGGCACAGAGAGAGAGAGACACACAAACTCCAAATATACAGCAGCAGCAGTAGACGTCACGGTCGGGATCTAACCCACGACCTCCTGTGTACCAGGCGAGGTAGTTAACATCTCCTAGCCACCCGTGACGATGATGATGAGAGAGAGACACCGCAAACTCCAAATATACAGCAGCAGCAGGCTTCGACAGGGACGGGATCTAACCCACGACCTCCTGTGTACCAGGCGAGGTAGTTAACATCTCCTAGCCACCCGTGACGATGATGATGAGAGAGACACGCAAACTCCAAATATACAGCAGCAGCAGCAGGCGTCACCAGTCGGGATCCAACTCACGACCTCCTGTGTACCAGGCGAGGTAGTTAACATCTCCCTAGCCACCGTTATGATGATGAGAAAGGGATAGAACCCACGACCTCCTGTAGACCAGGCGAGGTAGTTAACATCTCCCTAGCCACCCGTGATGACGACGACGATGATGAGAGAGAGACACCGCAAACTCCAAATATACAGCAGCAGCAGCAGACGTCACCAGTTGGGATCTAACCCACGACCTCCCGCGTACCAGGCGAGGTAGTGAACATCTCCCTAGCCACCCGTGACGACGACGATGATGATGGTGAGACACCGCAAACTCCAAATATATAGCAGCAGCAGCAGTCACCAGTCGGGATCCAACCCACGACCTCCCGCGTACCGGGCGACGGGAGTCAACATCCCCGAACCCAACGCGTGGAGGAGCGTTCCCGGTGGCACCGGCACTCACCCCACACCACCTTGCCGCCCTGCGTCACCAGGCCCAGCTCGCTGACGTTCACCTCCATGACGGTGCCCTTGGTGATCACTCCTGCACGCACGGCGAGAGGAAGAGCCGGGCCCGGGGGTGGAGGGAAAGGCCGGGGGGAAAGTCACGGGGCGGAACGAAACCGTTGCCGGGAAGACGCCGGAAGAACCACGGCGGACGACGTCCGGTGGGACGTAATAATAACGGGGGGGGGGGAGGGGGGGGGGGTGTTTTCCCCCCCCCCCTTTGTTTTCACGGCAACAAAACCGAAACCTTTTTGTTTTTTAACGAGGATTCTGTTTACTGCATTAACCGCAATACCCGCAGTCAAAATGCAAACAAACAAAAAAACACACTACAGTAATATGTTTTACCCTTTTAACTGGCACAAAAACTGACACCTTTATTCAAGGCATCATGTCTGCAATAACCACAACACAAGCAGTCAACAGCGCTGGAATTATAGAATGATCATTTCCTTGTCAGTGGGTAAGCGTACACAATCAGCAGGGGGTCAAATACTTTTTTCCCCTCACTGTCTGGTAGGACAGCGCTGGAGTGCGCTGTCCTACCAGACAGTCTCGTCCCTTCACCTGATGAAGGCCGCTTGTGTTGTGGCCGAAACGTCGTGAGAATATTATTGTGTTATTTTATTTTATCAATTTATTATTTTATTCTCATTCTACGTGACTTTACCGAAAGAACCAAAGAAGATGATTGGTCCACACCAAGGGGTGTGGACCAATCATCTTCAGCTGTTGCTGGCTCGGGATGGGGTAGGGGGTCACAGCGGCCTCCGCGGGGGGCGCCCCCCCCCCCCCCCCCCCCCCCGAACCGGATCCGTGCCGCCGAGTTCTATTCTCGAACGTTTGGGGGGGGGGGTCTCGAACGAGGTGTTCTGTTCGTACATCGGCAGCAGCGGCTCTCTCGGATCCGGCTACCGAGATTCCACAACAGCGGCGACAGCGGCAGCGGCGAGTGCGCCGAACTTCTTTCGCACCGTACGTAGCCGCCCGCGCTAATCGGAGGTGCTGGGGGAAGGGCAAAACTTAACACAACAAGCAGTTGTGTTGACTTTAGCTAGGTAGTTAACATCTCCCTAGCCACCGTGATGATGATGATGAGGGAGAGAGACACACTGCAAACTGCAAATATTCAGCAGCAGGGGTCGGGGTCGGGATCGAACCCACGACCTCCTGCGTACCGGGCGAGGTAGTTAACATCTCCTAGCCACCGCGATGATGATGAGAGAGACACGCAGACTCTAAATCTACAGCAGCAGCAGGCGTCAGGGTTGGGATCGAACCCACGACCTCCTGTGTACAAGGCGAGGTAGTTAACATCTCCCTAGCCACCGTGATGATGATGAGGGAGAGAGACACGCAGACTGCAAATATACAGCAGCATCGGGCATCATGAGGGTCGGGATCGACCTCCACGCGACCTCCTGCGCACCAGGCGAGGTCGTGAACATCTCCCCAGCCACCACGATGCCCGCATCACGCGGCGTACCGAGCGAGGTGTACATGGGTGAGGACGGGTTCTTCTTCACGCCCAGGATGGGCAGGCAGAAGGTGGCCTTCAACTCGGGGTGAGTCACGTGGGCCTTCTTGAAGCGCAATCCCTGCGCGGGCGAAACCGAGAGGGAAGTGCGGGGTTGGCAACGGTCGTCAACAGCCAGCGGAGGAACACGGCGAGCTACGGAGATTTTATTTTTCCCCGCGGGCGTCCAGCCAGGGGCGGGGCAACGGGGTCAGAACGTCACAACAACAACAACAACACCAACAACAACAAACAGACGGTACGAAAACACGGCACAATGGGAGCGCAAAGTTCTACGAGAGGTAAACAAATGACTCAACAACTTTTACTTTATGAGACTTCCTTTGCCAGTAACAGGATATAGTAATAGGTTTTTACCCTTTTAACTGGCACAAAAACTGACACCTTTATTCAAGGCATCATGTTTGCAATAACCACAACACAAGCAGTCAAAATGCAAACAAAAGAGACAACTCTGATAATAATAATATGCACTGTCCTTGAATTTGATTGGTCCACACCCGAGACGGCTTTTCTTAGAGCCTAGTCTCCACTGGTGTTGGACCAGATGACGCCTTTTGGCGTGTGGACCAATCAAATTCAAGGACAGTGCCAATATTATTATCAGAGTTGTCTCTTTTGTTTGCATTTTGACTGCTTGTGTTGTGGTTATTGCAAACATGATGCCTCGAATACAGGTGTCAGTTTTTGTGCCAGTTAAAAGGGTAAAAACCTATTACCATACTAGGCTCAACAGCTGTTTGCGTCTCAGCAGCTAAGGGCCCACACTGAGCTAACAATACGCTTCGCTCGCGGAAAGCGGCACGGCCACGAAGGACAGCTCGGCACAAACAAAGTGGCTTATCGCGTCTCGCGGAAATTTCACCGCGGCAAAGTAAGTTTTAACGACCTACATGAGGGAGGGAGGGAGGGAGGGAGGGAGGGAGGGAGGGAGGGAGGGAGGGAGGGAGGGAGGGAGGGAGGGAGGGAGAGCAAACGTTGACCGCCGGCGTGGCAATGAGTGCTGGGGAGGGGTGGGAGAGGAAGGGTGGATGGAGCTGGGAATGGAGGGGAGGGATGTAGCGGAGGGGGAGGGAGGGGAGAGAGAGGGAGGGAGGGAGGTGAGGGAGGGGGATGGGAAGCAGGGGTAGGGAGGGAGGGGGAGGGGGGGGGTCCCTCTCACCATGGGGCGGATGAATCGCTCGTACTTGGGCGGCTTGCGAGTGAAGCCGTCGCCCACGAAGCAAACCTTCGTCACGAGACGCTTCCACGACTTGCGTCGCGTCTTGCCGGTCCGGACCACGCGGAACACCTCCGCCTCCCCCTGGGCACGCACCTTGGGCAGCGGCACGTCCCACTTGCCCTGTGGGGAGGGGAGGGGAGGGTGAGCAATACAGTTCGGGGGGGGGGGGTTGTCGTCAGCGCAAGAGAGGGGCGGGCTGGGCGCGCCGTGGCAATAGCGCCGCTCGTGAAATAACGAGGGGCAGGAGAGGGCGTGGAGGGGAGTGGAGCGGGATGAGAGGGGAGAGGTAGAAGAGTGAGTGGAGGGGAGTGGAGTGAGATGAGAGGGGAGAGGCAGGAGAGTGCGTGGAGGGGAGTGGAGTGAGATGAGAGGGGAGAGGCAGGAGAGTGAGTGGAGTGGAGTGAGATGAGAGGGGAGAGGCAGGAGGGGAGTGGAGTGAGATGAGAGGGGAGAGGCAGGAGAGTGCGTGGAGGGGAGTGGAGTGAGATGAGAGGGGAGAGGTGTGAGAGTGAGTGGAGGGGAGTGGAGTGAGATGAGAGGGGAGGAGAGCGCGATAAATCGTCGCCATCAGCCACGATCTATCCACTTGATTTGCGTCACGAGTTTGGGGAGATAAACCCTCCCTGGGGTCACGTCCCCCAAGGTCATTCGGAGGGGGAGGAGGGGGCACAGGCTGCGTCATGGTTACCGTGCAGGAGAAATGTTTTAATGTGCACAGGGAACCATCAGCGACACGGTGTAACGGCAAAACACAACCGCAAGTGAAACTAAACTAAGTAAAGTAAAACCTTGGACTGCGAGCATAATTAGTTCCGGAAACGTGTTTGTAATCCAAGGCACTCGTACATCAAAGCACAACGTATGTCAGCTGTGATCACGTGACGCTAGGCAGTACAAAGCGTCTACACGTGCTGCTACTTGTATTGCAAGACCCTCGCCCGTTCATCAAATTATTATTTATTAAAAAAAATTTGCTCGTCTTGCAAGACACTCGCAGAGCAAGTTACTCACAACCCAAGGTTTTACTTTGTACTTAACAATTAATATCTCACCAGGTAAGGCCCCACTGAGCCGTGTGGCTCTTCTTCAGAAGCGACCAGGCTACCACAAATGATAGCTCAACCAAGCGGCTCATTACCACGTGGAAATTTATAGCAGCCAAGTTGGCCTCACACCTGGCGAAATAAAATAGTTTTTAGTTTAGCACCGCGAAAACGCCGCGACAAAGCCGGGCCGTGTCACCACCTTTTGAACCGCGTGACGTTATGCGAGGTGGCATGACGTCACATGTTGTGACGTCACACGAGATGGCGTGACGTCACGCCACCTCGCGTGACGTCACGTGGTTCAAAAGGTGGTGTGGCATGACGTCATGTGATGTAATGTGGCGTGACGTAACGCGGTGTGACGTGGCGTCACGCGATGTGGCGTGACGTCACACCATGTGGCTTGACGTCACGCCATGTGATGTGACGTCACGCGATGTGGCGTGACGTCACGCCATGTGACGTGACGTCACATGGCGTGACGTCACGCGATGTGACGCGGCGTGCGCCGTGGAGCTCACCGCCTTCTCCTTGCGCTTCTGCTTGATCATGTTGGACAGAACTTTGGCCCTGGACTGGCCCTCGCGGTCCAGGAGGTAGGCGGGCACCGCGCCCTTGGGCGTTTTGTCCTCGTCCTTCTGTTTCGCCATCCTCTGCTCGTGCATCTTGATGCTGCCCGGCGTCGACGACGTGGGGAAGGGGGGGAAAAACGGAGCTCGTTAAAACTAAAAATTGTTACTGGCCAAGAGGCGTGCGTTCATTTGCGTACAGTTACAAAACTATGAACTAAGCAACGTTTTATTTTGGGAGGTAAGGGCCCCCCCCCGCTGAGCCGTACAGCTCTCTCCTCCGAAGCGACCTGGCTATCACAAACGATAGCGCAGCCGAGTGGCTCGTCGCCGTGTGGAAATTTACGGCAGCCAAAAACTCTGAACGCGCGACGTCGATTCTACACGCGGAGGGGAAAAACCCGGCGGACCGCGAGAAAAATCAACAAGGAGCGGCACAAGTGTCCCTCACCGTGCGGTCACAGGCGTCGGGATCAAACCCGTGGCCTGCACACCAGGCGAGGCAGTTAACATTTCGCCACCACAGTGAGAACGGTTAGTCTGCACGCGCTTGATAACGTGTGCACGTGTGATCAACCTTCTCCTTCCCAAAGCCAAATCGAACTGTGGCAAGCCTTTGGGCAGGCACCCAGACATTCACGCGCACCGCAGTCACAGAAAGTGACTGCCCAATCAGCTTAAGGGACGCGACCTGGGCTTGGCTGTCTTCACCCCAGCGCTGTCCTCGAGACAGCCCGGTCCCTTCACCTGATGAAGGCCACTTGTGTTGTGGCCGAAAACGTCGTGATTTTTTTGTTATTTTATTTTTTTACCTACGTGACTTTACCGAATAGAACCAAAGAGCATGGATCCTTGCAGTCACGAAAGCTTCAAATCTACAATTGCAAGAAGCGCGTTAAAATGAGACCACAGTGTTGCCACGACCTTAAAAGATATTCTGGCCACCTCCAGCAGAGCGTTTAGTTTGCCGTCCCCTCTCCCGCACCTCCGATTAGCAGGGACGCGAAAGAAGTTCATACGTACGTGCGTGCGTGCACGGTACCCGATTCGTGCGGCTAAAATAATCGCGGTGAGAGATGCAATTTTTGCGAGCGGGCCAATTCCAAGCGGCAGGCCTTGCGTGCCAAGGCCTACCGTGGGCTACTGGCGGCCGGTCCCCTGGTGGCCTTCAGGGCGGCTCCGAATGGGCCCCCGGGGGCTGCGGGATGGAGCGGACACGCACGGACGAGAGGATCGCGAGGGGATTACGTTTTCTTTATCTGGATCTTCTCCTTGTGCCGCTCCTTGTTGTAGAGTTTCGCCTTGAGGCCGATGAGCTTCTTGGCCTTGCGAGCACGCTCGTGCGCCTCACGCCCCTCCTTCTTGCGCTTCTTCTCGTGGTAGTCCAGCCGGTAGCCATAGCGCTTGCGGTGGAGGTCTATGTAGTCGTTCTGCGGCTGTTGAGCGCACGCGACAGGAAGACACCGGGGCATCACGCATGCGCACACAAAGGCAAAGATCCCCCGTGTAGCCTGTAACGGACTGTTGGCGCAAGTGCCGTTAGCGAGCACCTACGAAGGCCGGAACGGCACACGAGGCGGTGGGTGGCCAGCGCCACGCCCGGCCGCCTTTGTCTCCCCAGCGGCGATGTTTACTACACACCGCACCAGGTACTCATTTGAGGCCGAGTCGACCTAGGGAAGGTCCAGGACCGGTTCAGATAATCGTCTCTGATGTTGTCCGTGAGCGGGAATAGAACTCGGGTCACCAGGTTCGTAGCGCAGCGCGCTGACCGCTACACTACCGTTCCCCGCGCGCGCGCACACACACAACAGCACACACAACAGCACGCACACACACACACAACAGCACGCACACACACAACAGCACACACACACACAACAGCACACACACACTGACACACAACAGCGAGAGACGTTTGTGCTTCTGTGCGACACAGACCTGGTAAACCCACAGAGGATGCAAGGACACCGAGACTTATTATGGAAACCTCCATGTTATACTGTACACGAGAGAGAGACCGAGAACTGTAGCACGGCTGGCTACGTACGGTGCGAAAGAAGTTCGGCACACACCATCAAGAGAGATGCATTAAATGGCAGGCCTCGGTGCGACCGTGGCCACGCCACCCAAACTACGTGCCACGTTTTTAAATCACCGTAAGTCTGCGCGCTCCTTCAAAGAGCAAAACAACATACTCCTGGCCAGAAGCCACCTCTCGTCGTGGCCTGGAAATCCTCGGCACGAACACTCTGGGCTCCTGGGGGACACGTTTGCCACACACGCACGAGGGATCCTTCGTCTATCTATGCCATACGCGATGGATAGAGAAACGAAATGACACGGACAGCTCCCCCCCCCACCCACATCTGAATGGCCACAACTGCACTAAAATCCATCCCACATGGTCGCATCAACACCCCCCCCCAATCTCTCCCGAGCAGTCCGGTACAGCGTGGAAGAGTAGGCCCTAATAACCCTCGTTAAGAGAGACAGAGGAAGAGTTTTATAGCTCATCGGATTCCTTCAGCATTTAGACATTCTGAAGCAGCCACTGATCTTCCCCCCCCTGCGCCAGGCACCACGAGGCGACGCTCGCCTTCGCTCCGTCCCCACTTACAGAGGAGGAGGCGGAGGAGGAGCGCCCGCCCGGTCGCCCGCCCGGCCGCCGCTAACCCTTGAGAGGCGAGAACCCCAACAACATTCACTGGAGCCGAGGCCCAATTCGCCCCGTGCCGACGAAACGCGAAGCGGCGGCGGCGGCCGGCGGAGACTGCCAAAGGGCGCGAGGCCCCAGCGTGCACGAGGACGCTAGGCCCACCACGCTAGGACCCCGCGCTAGGGCCCCGCGCTAGGGCCCCGCGCTTGGCCCACCACGCTAGGACCCCGCGCTAGGCCCACCACGCTAGGGCGCTAGGGCCCCGCGCTAGGGCGCTAGGGCCCCGCGCTAGGCCCACCACGCTAGGCCCACCACGCTAGGCCCACGACGCTAGGGCCCTCCCAGCGCCACTCACCATGGCTTCGCTCCTCCACGCGAACGCTCGCGCGGCGGTGTGTCCGGACTTGGGGGTGTGGGGGCTGTTTAGGGTCGGGGGACTCGAGGGGGTCAAATCGAGGGGGTCAAATCGAGGGGATGTTGGGGAGCATGGGGGCAGGCCTCGTGGTGTGGGTGAGGCCTCGGCTGAAGAGAGGGATTGTGGGTAGACCCGGGGGGGAGGTGGGAGCGGGGTGGGTGGGGTCACGTGGCGCGCACGAGGGGGCGGGGCGATCACGAACACCGCTGGCGAGGCGAGTTCGATTCCCGCTCACGATGACCAGCGCTGTATTATTATTCAACTTTTGTATTATTATTTGGAGTTTGCGTGTCTCTCTCTGTGTTCTTTTACCGGGTAGGGCCCACAGTATTTGGACCCATCCTGGGCCTCCTCAGTCTAAAATAAATATCGCCACTGGGGAGACAAAGGCGGCCGGGAGGCGTGGTGGTAACCATCCATTCCGTTGTGTGCTGCGACGCTTCTTGCCAACAGCAACTTTGCCCCAAAATTCTGTCGCAGGCTTTACGGGGGACCTTTGCCTTTGTGTGCACGTGCGTGGAGCGGTGGTGCAGCGGTTAGCGCGCCGTGCTATACGAACCCTGCACGTGACCAAATGACCGGATAATTTCTGAAGCCGGACCTGGGCCCTCCCCTAGGTCGACTCAGCCTCAAATGAGTACCTGGTGCTAGCCAACAGCACTTGCCCCAACAGTCTGTTAGGGTTTTGATTTCAAGCTTTCGTGACTGCAGGGATTCATATTCTTGGTTCTTTCGGTAAAGTCACCACGTAGAAGGGAAACAATAAAATAATAAAATATATATTCTTAGTTCTTTCGGTAAAGTCACGTTGAAGGGAAACAATAAAATAATAAAATATATAAAACAATAAAAATTCTCACGACGTTTCGACCATAACACAAACAGTCGTCATCAGGTGTGTTGGTTTGCAAGACGACCGTTTGTGTTATGGTTGAAACGTCGTGAGAATTTTTATAGTTTTATATATATTTTAGTATTTTATTGTTTCCCTTCAACGTGGTGACTTTACCGAAAGAGCTAAGAATATGAATTACTGCTGCAGTCACGAAAGCTTCAAATCAAAATAAAAAATATATAAAACAATAAAATTCTCACGACGTTTCGACCGCGACACGAGCAATCATCATCGGGTGTGAAAAACCACACCAAGAAAATTTGAAAAAAGTGGCGGTCTGTTAGGGGCCGTCCATAAATGACGTCACGCACCTAGAGGGGGGGGGGCGGGGTCAGACATTTGTGACGATGTGTGACGAGGGACTGGGGGAGGGGGGGGTTGAGAAATGTGACGTCACATCAAAATGCGCAACTTTAAATAAATATAGACAACACGTTCTACTTAATTAAATAGACTTTTTAATAAATGTTTTCTCCTACAACATCAGAGTGCAGCGCCACATTAAATACGCACTACAATGACAATAGTTTAAAGCGATTTGAAGCATGTTTTATATATTTTTTGGGGGGGGGGAGGGCAAAGCATTGTGACGTCATATTTGAGGGGTGGGGGGGGGTCTGACTTTTTGTGACGCAGTGTGATGACGGGGAGGAGGGGGGGGGGGGTCAAAAATCGTTCAAAATCGGCTGACGTCATTTATGGACGGCCCCTTAAGGCTGTACGGGGGATCTTTGTCCTTTTTTTTTGTGTACACGTGCGGCTCGCTGGGCCTCCCCCGGGGGTCTGCTGAGCCATGGTTGAGGCTCTGGCGGTGCTTAGCCTTAACATCAGCACTGGGGATGATAAGCGGTGGGACTATGTGAAATTGGCGCTCGGTTCCAGAACGTTCCTCCCACCCCCCACCCCCCCCCCCCCCCAACAGTCTAAAAGCTCAACAATATTTTTATTTTTTAAAATTTTAACGCGGCATTACAAATCGTTGTGGGTGTACCGTCCTTAAAAGATTGATTACAACATTTTTTTTTTAAAAACAAACCCCCCCCCCCCCCAACGACTACGACGATTTTCAATTCTAGATTTGAAGCTTTCGTGACTGCAAGGATCCATACTCTTTGGTTCTATTCGGTAAAGTCACGTAGGTACCTACGTAAGGTACCTACGTGACTTTACCGAATAGAACCAAGTCTCCGTCTCGTATTCACGCGCATTGCGACTCTCGACATATTGGAGTTGTTTTTTTATATCTCTTGACTTAAAGCTTTCGTGACTGCAGGGATTCATATTGTTTGCTTCTTTCGGTAAAGTCACCACGTAGATAGGTTCAAATTAAATTGTGATTTAAAGCTTTCGTGACTGCAGGGATTCATATTCTTTGCGTCTTTCGGTAAAGTCACTGCCACGTAGAAGGGAAACAATAAAATAAGAAAAATATAAAACAATACAATTATTTCTAGATTTAAAGCTTTCGTGACCGCAAGGATTCATCTTCTTTGGTTCTTTCGGTAAAGTCACCACGTAGAATGAGAATAAAATAATAAAATAAAACAATACAATTCTCACGACGTTTCGGCCACAACACAAGTGGCCTTCTTCAGGTGAAAGGAACAAACCTGTCGGGACGACAGAGCTACATTTGTGTTGGGGCCGAAACGTCGTGAGAATTTTATTGTTTTATTTTATTATTTTATTCTCATTCTACGTGACTTTACCGAAAGAACCAAAGAAAATAAAATTATAATTTTATTGTTTCCCTTCTACGTGGTGACTTTACCGAAAGAACCAAGAATATAGGTTCAAATTAATAAAAGTAATACATTTAAAATAAGTAAAATAAAATAAAGCAGCTAAATTAAATCACGACGTTTCGGAGGCAACACAAGCTTCCGTCTTCAGGTCGAACAGACACAGCAGAATTCGCTGTATCAAGTGAACAGCTCTGAGACACTCGAGATTATATATACAGGTTAGGGGGGAGGGGGGGGAGGAGCCAGAAAGGGACGTGGGAGGGGAGGGGAGGGATAAGTTAAGACACCTTTTGTTATGCTGCAGGGGGTTCGGGAGGAGTGGTGGTGCACTGCAAGATAGCGGGTAAAACCCACCTTTTGTTATGCTGCAGGGGGTTCGGGAGGAGCGGTGGTGCACTGCAAGATAGCGGGTAAAACCCACCTTTTGTTATGCTGCAGGGGGTTAAGGGGTGGAGCGGTGGTGCACTGCAAGGAAGCGGGTAAAACCCACCTTTTGTTATGCTGCAGGGGGTTAAGGTGGGAGTGGTGGTGCACTGTAAGATAGCGGGTAAAACCACCTTTTGTTATGATGCAGGGGGTTCGGGATGAGTGGTGGTGCACTGCAAGATAGCGGGTAAAACCCACCTTTTGTTATGCTGCAGGGGGTTAAGGGGTGGAGCGGTGGTGCACTGCAAGATAGCGGGTAAAACCACCTTTTGTTATGATGCAGGGGTTCGGGAGGAGTGGTGGTGCACTGCAAGATAGCGGGTAAAACCCACCTTTTGTTATGCTGCAGGGGGTTAAGGTGGGAGTGGTGGTGCACTGTAAGATAGCGGGTAAAACCACCTTTTGTTATGATGCAGGGGGTTCGGGAGGAGGGCGATGGCGTGCTGCACGAGAACGAGCACCATCCTTGTAGAAACGTAAACGGCTGTACAATTATCAGCCAGCTAAAGTTTGACTCGGTTGATGACATCTTTACAAAAGTTGCTCAAATTTGAAACCATCCTCTCGGTTGAAGTTGTGTCTATGTTTGTATATTTGGATGGCTTCATGGACAAATCTTTGGTAATAACCGGGAGGTTAATAACCGGGAGGTTATTACCAAAGAGAAAATAATGTCATGATAACCTGCTGTGTTGAAACAATGATCAGCCAAAGGCCGAAGAATTCGTTCTGCCGTGTTTCAAATCTGATTTGTGCTCGCGAATTCGGCCGGAAATACGTCGTTTCGTCTCCCCGATATAGCAGTCACCGCAGGTACAACTCAATTTGTAAACACCGGGGTACTGTAAGTCAGGAATGACATCCTTTACGGATGGGATCAGATCACGGATTTTGTGTACTGTATTGAACCGGACCTGGATCTTGTGTTTGTTTAGAATTTTGGAAATCTTTTTGGTAACGCCTGCTATGTATGGTAGTGTGATGGTTTTGATCGGAGTATCAAGTGATTGTTTCTGTATGGTGGGAGAAATAGCTTGGCGGATGGTACGGTCAGAGTATCCGTTCTTGTTGAGGGCCAGATGTACATTGATTCACTGGTCAGGTGGTGTTGGTCAGAAATGCAATGAGCCCTATGGTATAAAGTTTTGATGAGAGAGTTCTTTTGAGCTGGGTGGTGGTGGGAATCAGGCTTCAAGTATGAATCCGTGTGGGTAGACTTTCTGTAAACAGAATGACCCAAAGAGCCATCCGTCCTCCTCTCAAACAGAACATCCAAGAATGGCAGCTTGCCGTCTTTCTCCACTTCCATGGCGAATTTGATGGATGGGTGTCTGGAATTTATGTGGTCTAGGAAACGGTTCAAAGCCGGGAGGCCATGTGGCCAAATGACGAAAGTGTCATCCACAAATCTCTTCCACAGGGAAGGACGAAGGGTGGATGTCTGGACGGGAGTCTGATTCAAATTTCTCCATGAAAACATTGTCTATCACTGGTGATAGCCAATGGTGGTGGCCGTGAGCCGGAATTGAACATGGGCCGCCGGGTTCGTCGCTCATCGGATTCCTGCAGTATGCATACATATTCTGATCGATTTCTGTAGCGCAGTGCGCTAACCGCTGCACCACAGCTCCCTCGCAACACACACACACACACGTGCTCTCGTCGTCTGCAGAACAGGGGGGCGGGGGGGAGGGAGGGAGAGAGAGAACACAGAAATACCACAGAGAAAGGCTCCCCCAGTCGGGAGTCGAACCCAGGTGATTCCCGCTGCGAGTGTACGGCGGCTGCTGCTGATGCTGCTGCACTCTCAGCAGGGTGCAAGGCGGTGATCTCGGATGACATTCCTGGGCGTGGTGGAGGACGGGGCCCTAACTCACGTGAACCTGCTCGTGAGCAGCGCAGCCGTCTCATCAGCAGCGCGGCCGTCAAATTACAGAGCGGCGCATGCGTTTGTTTCAGAGCGTGGGTGTGTGTGAGTGTGTGTGAGTGGGTGGGTGAGTGAGTGGGTGTGTGTGAGTGAGTGTGTGAGTGAGTGGGTGGGTGAGTGACTGGGTGTGTGTGAGTGAGTGTGATTGTGGGTGT